TGACTTTTATGCCCGATTCCTTCATGTCTAATACTGCCTGCCGGACTCCCTGAGTGACTATTGTCCTTCTATGCGTGCTTTGAGGGTACAAGTACTGACGTCGAGCCGAGCACAAATGGGATGCAAAAATGCATTTATCGCTAACCTCGCAATCAGGAAAAATCGCTTCTGTAGTAGAACCTCTGCGCATAGTCCTACGGAGTCACTCCCCCTTCCCCCCCCCCCCCCCGTTTTGAAGCCAAAAGCTATAACTGGTTTGGTCCAAGTTGAGATTTGACATATTAAAATTTTTCCTGGATCCCTTTACTGGGGAAAAAAAGTTACGATTGGAAAAGCGTTTCGCCGAGTGCTTTTGACCGCTACTGTACGTTGATGTAGGCAAAATATTCAACGTTTTTTGGTACACGAGATGAGTACATAGCTTGTAGAATGTTTTGGCCACCTAACTCATAAAATTTTCATTGTTTTCATATTTCTATACCCATACAGGTAAACCTGACACCCTATGACCAGAAATGAATCAAAACTTTTCAGGCTGGCACACGGGACATTTCCTTCGGCCCACGCATTTTCTTCCTCCGTGATTTAGTCTTGAAGTGTTAATATCATGCAGGCCAATCATTCACACACCTCTATTCTCCATGGCCACATCAATTTCTAAGATCCCCTTTTTTCGACATCCCTTCGTAACACTTTGCTTGACACTAAATCACATATCTCCTTAAAAATAACTAACGAAGCATTCCAGTGATTCCTACTTCTCAGTTATGGTTCCTACGGAAGTTGTTCAGAACGCTTCCTATAAAAAGTTACCTTCTCGCCCTTGGGAGGGGCCGCCATTTCTCACATAGCTGGCTGTGCGAGGAATCACGACGGCTTGAGCGCAGAGAAACAGGGGCGTGGGTCAGGACGCAGAGACTCGCGCACACGGAAGCTCCGCTATCGTACGCCTGATTATTTCTTTATTTGACGCCCTTTATGGAGTTTTGTTACTTGAGGTTGTTTACTGTTTAGTTGACAGAGTGGAAGTAACGTGTGCTGATGTTTATTCGATTGCCCACTGCAACTGCATGTCGACAGTAAGGCATGTGCGTGCTGTTGCTGTGTGTGGTGTGCGTGTGCGTAGTGGCATAATAGGCACTAGCAGCAGACTGTGTAGCCACAATCTTGCTCAACTTGCTACCGATTAGATACAGTCTTTGTATTGTTGATTACGCTTTTCAACGTTGTGGCAGGCATTATTGACGAGTTCCGTTATGTAACAGTAACTTCGCATTTCCACAAAAACGTATTTTCTTTATCTGGTTTTTGGCATCATCCAGGGTGATGTGGGTTCGTTTTGTAAGCGAAAGTATCCTCAACACTTTATTATTTTTAATTTTAAGCAAACTGTTGATTACAGTATGAGCGAGGGTGGTTCTAGTGCTGCCGGCGATGCCCTTCCGTCAGGCAGCCACGATTCGACCACGTCGGAAACCGAGAATCTTAGCCTTCTACAACTGCAAGAGGTACGCGATATTCCCTTATGGACGTTTCTCTATTTCACTTTAGTTTTTTCTTGTTCTCACCTCAATCTTAGCGCTATCTCATTTCGAGTTTTTCGATTTATATCTCGGGACAAGTACACCTCGAATTACCGCTGTGATTCAGCTCTGGTCTACTTTTGACGTGTCGTACTTTTCCGCTTCACTCTTCAGCCAGTCGATGCCCAGTTTGTGCTCTCGGTTTTCATCATCCTCCTTGGCGCTTGCCTCACTCCGATGGGCTATTTTTAGCCATTATTTGCTGTGTTACGGCCTCCGATCGATTGGCATCGCGCTCGCCTCAATACGTAGAGGTACTCACGATGTATTTAGTTGATGAGAAAAGGGACTATTAAGGCGTATACCTTCATTAGAGAACCGTATTCCCCAAAATGGGCACTCTCTTTTAGTAGAAAATTCTTAGAAAAAAAATTTAACAAAAATGGTAAAATTCTCGAAGTCGCAGGGTAGCGTGCAAGGAAATTTGAGCTGATTGACTAATCCGCGTGACACTTTTTGAAAAGGGTTTTCGAAAAATGGAAATTCAAAAATGAAAATTCTAATTGCAAATACTGAAGTTTTTCTTCAAGAAATTACATCCTCCCTGCTTAGAATCAAGTGTTCCTCATGACAGTTGGTAAATATGATGGGAGGATCAAATATCCCGTAGGTGCTTCTCAGAAGTCGATATCAATGTTTAATTGAGTATCTCATATTCAAGAAGATTTCAAGATGTCTCAACACCAGATGAGAACAATTCGACAGCTTTCTCTTAGTGATTTCATTTCATTGAAATATTCAAAACATAGCTTTCAGTTAAAGCCCAATTACATCTTTTCAGATTGGATACGAATATTTTAGTAAATCGGATCATCCTGACTTTCTTTTCATGCAATTCAATCTAATTGGGGCTAGCCTTATCTCAAATTCTCTTGAATAGTGTCCATTTTGACGTTCCTATAATATTGTTCGAACTTGCTTGTATAACATACCCAGTAGTGGATCCAGCCCTACCGGATCTTCTTGAGAAACACATTAACCTCGAATTCAGAGCGTTTTGGTTTCTTGATCAGGTATCATCTGTGTAATTAGTTTCGCCTTATAATAGAGAGGATTGTCACCTGATTTAAAAATGGTTACTGTTCGTCGCTGTCGGTTCCTACCTTATTTTTTCTCAGTTTTTTTTAATCAACCATGATTGTGCGTTGCACTTTTGGCTATTATTTTATATTCGTGTGGATCTGATTGTGGATTGGATGCTAAGCATTAGCTTGGCAAGGGTACGTTCCGAAATGATGAGGAGATACACGTGCGTTTCTATACACCACATATTGGTTGCCTACATTGGCGCTATCAATCGTTCGCTGAGATAATTGATGGGAAGTGACGTAAAAGGTGCACGCTTGGTCTTCGACACTATCCGTTGTTTTTTCGTGCAGTGGGATAATTAATAATCGAGTTCTTTTTCCAAAGTTTCAATTGACATGAAGTAGTTGTAACAGGGCAATGTAGGCTTCCTGATAGGCTAGATTTCTTTCTGTATGAGGGAAATTGTCTCGAAACCCAGGGAATAATATTCATTGACAGTGTGAAATACAAGGTGAGATCAAGTATCTAGCATCAAGTATTGACAAGTATCTACATTATATTCGTATAAGGTATAGAATGAAGCCAGTGCAGTCGCTGGGGTGCCATGCCGCACTTCCTCGAAATCTTTCAGAATAACAAAGCATTCTATTTCGGTGGCCTGGTGGATGTGAGAGAACACAAAACACCAGCTGACGTTCGCTAGTGTTCGTGTAGACAAAGTAGTCCTTCTTCTGTTCTTTTGATAAATGAACGTTTCGAATTTTATTCAGTCTTTTCAAATTTTCGGAATTCTTCGGTAATATATTAGGTTGTCCTGAAAGTCTCCGCCGACTTTTGAGTCATCTCTGAAAGAAAATTTCTAGAAGATCAAATCCACTCATTAAACAACATATTGTCCTTTCTGTTTAGTAACGGTTTGCCACTTTTCTATCAGTTTCATTATCCCACTTGCATAGAAGGTTCTAGGCATAGAATCGAAAAACCCTCTTAGGTGCTTTTTGCAGTCCTTTTGTAGATTGAACGATTTTCCATTCAAAAGATTTTGCAGAAACCTAAAGAAATGGTAGTCTGATGGTGCTATGTCTAGACTATATGGCGCGTGTGGTAAGACATCCCACCCAAGTCCCGCAATTTTGGACGAGTGACTAAAAATGTGTGTGCTCTGGAGTTATCCTGTTGGAAAACAACGCCCTTACAATTTGCCACTTCTGGGCGCTTCTGGTCTATCGTTGCCTATAAATCGTTTAGCTGCGTACAGTACCTTTCCAAAGTTATCGTTAGACTATGCGGTAACAGCCCATAATAAATTATTCCCCTCCAATCCCACCAGAAACACTGCATGATCTTCCTCACGTGGATTTTGACTTTTGGAGTAGTTTGTGACGGCTCACTGAGAAGGCTCCACAAACGTTTCCGCTCCACTTGTTGTACGCGGCCCACTTTTTGTCCCCCGTTTTCATACGTTTCAGAAACAGCTCATTTTTGTTTCGTTTTAGCAACGAGTCGTACAAGGAGACGCGGTCCATAACATTGCGCTCGCTCAGTTCGCGTGGTACCCAAACATCAAAGCGCTTAAGAAAACCAAGTTCCAGAAAGGATCATGAATGGTTGATTTCGAAGAGTCTTCCTCCTAGCCCACGAGTGTGATTTGCAGATTCGTTACGATTAATATGTTGATGTGGTCGTTTTCAATTGGTGATAGCTATCTTGACCGTTGCCGGCTTTAGAGAGTAAAATCACCGTTTTAAATTCCGCAAATCATTCGCGTACTGTACGTTCCTCTAGAGCATGTCTATTCAAACGTACCAAATCTTTTTCGCGGCTTGAACCGCATTCTTGCTGCCCGCGATTATCCTCAAATTTCACACGAGTCCTATACAGAAAAACTTCGAGGGATGTTAACAGAACATAATCTGGATCTGGATGTAAAGGAGGGCCTTCCCTTTCAGAAAATATATGAGTTTAGGTTCTTGATCTTTTATATTAGGTTAGGTCATAAGTCCTCGATCAATGTGATTGTGATGAGTTCTAGAGATCATAACTCGGGAAAGAGGTGATGAAAATGGATGCGCGAGGCATCGTTAGATAGAGTATAAAAGCCGCTCCAAATATATTTTAATGAACACACCTAACTGATCCCCTTCCTCAATCACGCTCCATGATTTCAAGCCGTCGCAGCTCCACCTCCGCAACAACATCCTATTTCTTTTTTTATCTGGCCAAGAACCCGCGGCAATCGATAGACGTATGAAGGAAGTTTACAAGAAGGATGCCTCCGCCAGAAGCGCAATTTACAAGTAGCACTCGAAGTTCGGGCGACTATTCCATCGAAGATGAAGACCGTAGGGACACACAAAGGAGTTGAATTTGGACGTGCTGCGGAGCTATATGGAAGCCGATCCGCATCATACTACTAGTGAACTGGCAGCCACTCTTGGGTTGAGCCAGTCCACAGTTGATCGTGGATTGAAGTCAATCGACACGGTGCGAAAGCTCGGTCGACGGGTGCCTCATGCTTTGAAGCAGTATGACATGGACCGGAGCGCCAACATGGCACTTTCTCTCCTCACGCTCAGGCGCATCCACACGTGGCTCGAGCACTAGTCACCGGGGATGAGGGAATCTCTACTCAACGTTCACCGGCGTGCTCAACGGGTTGACAAAGTGCGGATGCAGAAGACTTGCCTAAACCCAACTTACACGCCAAGAAGGTTGTGCTCTGCACCTGGTAGAGCGTTTAAGGTGTCGAATACTGGGAGCTGCTAGACAAAGGAAGTACAGTGCCCGCAGACGTATACATTAAGCAGCTGAGGAATTTGAAGGCGAATCGCGAAGCTACACGTCCACAGCGGCATAAAGTTTACTTCCAGAATGACAACGTTCGGCCGCAGATTGTAAGAACGACCAAACTGGACTGATGAATTTCGGCTGGACAATTTCACCACACCCATCATATTCACCAGACTTGGCTCCCTCGTACTACCGCCTTTTTTTCATCTCCAACGTCATCTGAATGGTCAACACTTTCAGACCCGCGGCGACTTCAAAAAGCAAGGGCATCTACGAACTGTCCAAGCGTTGGCAGAAGACCATCGACGCCAATGGGGCATATTTAAAATTATTGGCAATGGTCGTTTAAAAATTATAAGGTAAATATAATCATCGTCAATTTGTCCGGAGACTTATGACTCAACCTGATACAACAGTTGATAAACCCGGGGAGTCGAAAATCGGAGAAGACTTTCAGGGCAACACAATATTTGGTGAAAACTGCAGTAACATACGATTTTAAATCTACATGCCCTGTAGTAGTAATGACTCGAGAAGAGGCAAGATCAGAACCAAGTTGACAGTAAACTGATAAGGTCTAGCAAAAACTTGCGTGACCAAATTTTTCGTTTGACTTTATACCTTTTTTGTGGACAGACGAACACTCATAGTTGTACAGGCTTCTCTGTTTCTTATGATTTTACTTAGAATAATCTTTTTGTTTAAAAGAAACTACTTTTCACAGTCACTTTTCAAATTCTTTGGAATCACTTAACGTTATATCATCTCATCATCTCCATACTTGAATACAATAATTTACAGGGAGGAACAGGATCTTATGACCTCATTTTAGTCCTCTATAATGGAGTGTTATTTCTTATTTTCCTAATTCACATGAGTAATATCCTCATTTAGTACTTTGGTATTGCTCTCGGTATACTTTTTCCCTTCTCTGCATGAGTTCTTGGAATTCTACTGATAGACTGACACCTTAATGATTTTATTTTCTGAAGGAAAGGCATATCTAGCTCTTCATCCTGTAAATCGTTATGATAGAGTAGGATTTCTAAGTATTCCATACGATAATATTTTATCGGAAACAAGGGATTCGCACATAGTAGTTAGGTTTTTTTTTTGAAAAAAGGTCCATCTGGTTCTTGTTATTCGTACCCGGGTTGCCATGCAATTATTTATTCCTAAAAAAGGGACTTATGAAATTGCTATCAGCAGATGGAAGGAAGTACTATGTATGTAAATGCTAATGTTTCTCAAACTACCAAGGCTCTCATCAGTGCTCAGTACCTTATACTGAACCAATGCAGTTGCCTATTGTGCGTTCGCGATTCATCTGCTATAACATCACGTCCTTTCCAAGACTTGGGCGATTGCCGTTCAGGTTACAGCGGCTCCATTGTGCATTAATCTTTATTCTTATAATAAGGTTTTTACCTTCTCGTTCCCGGAAGTGAAGTAATGCTTGCTTAATTGGGGCGCGGTAAACATATATTATAGACGGAATTATGTAGAACATGCAAGCTGAATAGTATCCCGAATGAGGTGAGATAGCTCTGAGCTGGTCCTGACCTCGTTGGTTTCAATTTCAACGCATTCTCCCCGAGTTTTTCATTCGTAGATTCTCTATTCTACGCTGTTTCCAAAAAACTTGATGTCAATCCGCCTAATGATGAGTAATATTGGGACCTAAGTTTTCACGAGTGCGAGCGATTGGGTCCCCCACTCTCTCGTTGATGGCTGTGTTGGAAATGCAAATCTTTTGCACATAGTATTGAATTCGAGGAGCGCTTCTCAGAAGATAGCGACGTTTAGCTTATTGAATTCAATAGCCTTGCAGTTATCTTCTAAAAAGGTAAAATGATTGGCGTTGTTTGATTCGTTTGGAAGACGCCGCGCATCCGATTTAACACAGAACGGTAGACGATCTGATGGTAGGCAAGACTGGTGCCAACGAAACGTCGCGTTATATGAACCCTCTTTAGTTTGGGTAGAGTACGATCCATAATTATATGATGCCTCCTGTATGGTCTTGGCACGATAAAAGCACTGAATTCTAGGCAGTAGCTGGAGTAAAGAAAGGAAATTAAGTGGTATAACAACATCTTCAAGTGACAAAATTTTTCCAATTTTGTTAACCTTGACCACGGTTTTATGTGACCTGTTATGGCCATATTTTCATCTAGGTGCTGAATTCGCAATCGAATATATCCTTTTTTGGTTGCGTATGCAGGGACTGCGATAAAAAGCAGTCCCCCATTCTAAAATTACTTCAGTTCAAAATTAAGCCCGTAAGTTATTATTATTCTGACGGCTTGAAGATACATAGGGTCCTACAGAAGAAGTTCAGTCATATTTGCTCGTTGTAGGGATTATCTGTACCTTTCTTCTGCTTGCCACAAGAAAACAAATTTTGTAAGACTTTTGATAAAACTTGTTACCAAGAAAACCTTTTGTTAAAACGTTCCTCTCTTATAAGAGCTTGTTTATCATCTTGAAAGCAGGTTTTATAAAAAAAGTCTTGCAAAATTTATTCAAAGCCATGCTGAGGTTTATTGAGAGTCGAACGTGGATACACAAAAAGCATTTGTGGGTGTTTACGAATTTCTTGAGTCCTGACAACTCTTTGCTGTCACTCCCGTTTTGTTGTTTACTTTATTCGCTTTCTGTTACTTGTTTGTCTATCGTCGTTGATCGCCAGCTGAGACGGTTGCTAATCTGTAGCATTCTGTACATCCCTGAATAACAATTATGATATTAAAAAATGTCGATTCAAATTAGAGGATGGCTTTTAATTCAGTGGAAAAGTTCTAAGCTGTGATTTATTATCTATTCAACTGATGACATGCTGATACTAGCTTGTTGACCGGTTAAAACTGTATAAACGCCTTAACTTTCATGTAGTTCACTAGCTTGCGGTCTGTGAACCTACTCCTACCCAATGCTTTGCAGACTTGGGATCATTGTGATCATGAAATCATTCCTACCCTATTTGTTGCCGTTTAAACCCGCAGTTTATCAATGCTGGCGGTCTGCCAACAGTCAGCACGTGTGAACTGCAGCTGTTGTTGGGATGTCTTTGTGAGTTCCAGCAAAGTTAGTTTAAATCCCATATTAGGTAGTATTACATGGCTGAGCTTGAAGAATGCGGGTTCAGTGTCGCCCTAGATGTTATAATCTACCCAGCGAGTGTACAAAAGCTCTGGGAATTACTAGCTCTTTTTTTGACTCGAAAATGATTATGCTTCACTTGGTTCAAGCCTCAGGTCCTCTATTTCGGGTGTTTTCAATCCGTAATGAAACGTGCAGGGTCTGATAATGCTTCTCCTTTTTATTAACTATATCAGGTTGTACTTGGCAAAGTTCCTTCAGGCTTTTGATTATACAATCCCCTACCAGATTTGCAATGTGTGCATTTGGGAAGTAAAAGTTTTTGTGAGCTATGGACGATTAATGCATTTATTGTTTAAGCATGTCTAATGCATTGTGCATAAATGCAAAAAAATTCAAAAAAAGCAAATGTGGCTGGCATTTGGGCATGTCATTTCCTTGAACGTACCAAATATATCATCCAGAAACGGAGTAGATGGAGTTTTAAGACACCGGAAGGCAAGCTTCGAGGCTGCTCTCACCGCATGCGCAGTTATGCTCGGGTTTTTTGGGAAACACTTAGGTTACTTACGTTATGGGCCTACGTCTACGTCATTTTTCTTTTATTGAGTTTGTTTTCGACAGAGTTATTATGCCACCAATTTTGAGTTGAATTTGGTACTAACCATGAACGCAGCTGGTTTATCACACATAATGCTATTTCGGGTTATTCCGAAGGAGAAAGCGTAACATTCCGTTTACTAGCTTTTGTACAATACTGCTTTGGTAAACTTGGGAGACGGGCAGTAGAACGGTTTTGTGCAATCGATTCTCCGCACGCGGCTGTCGCGGACCATTCGTTCGCCGTTATTACTGCTCCAACGTTCTTCATACAGCTCAATCGATATGCGATCGTTATTTTGGGCACGATTCTAATGTTTGTTCCTTGTTTCTGTATTTCTTACCTGCACTGCAGTCCGTTATACTCTTTCGCGCGCGGCATCCCGCTCGCCGCGGCGCGACAATTTCGTTCCTACTGCACCACACCCGGTAATCTTACCAACAAGACCTTTTTTGTGTACCTCCAATGCTACTGTTTTGTGAAGAAAATCTGACTTATTCTCTTGAATCCCGTTGGTACTACTTGATCTTTCACGTAGTTCCAGGCAGGAAAGGATACAGGACTAGGGGTCAATCTGATCCTTTGTAGCCAAAAATATATATGGTGTCTGGCCAATGCTTCGTTCCTCTGCGTAGATGTCCTTTTATATTGACATAGGGATTAATTGTTTATATTAATATTGTGAATTTGATCATATATTTTTCTTATTTTGTATTGTTAACATATTGTTCCCTATTGGTTGATTTTTGGTAGAATAATGATTACTAAATATAAGGTGTTTCGACATTATGGTGCAGACAGTTGTGCCCAAGGATACAGCATTTAAATGTCTCCGAGCAAAACATAATTGGTTATTTTTACTTAGCGCCGACGAAAACAGACGATAGTTGCAACATGTTATAAACATTATATGCTTTCATTCTCCTCGAAACCTTGTTTATCACATTGGCTTCATCAGCTGTCATTAACTGCGCATGTGATGAGGAACGAAGGTTTAGTTTGTGCGTTCTATAGACGACACTTTATGAAACGTTGTCCATCTGATAGTATCCAGTTCGGTACACAAGAACGTTGAGACCCAGGTGATGGTTTTTGGGGCTCAACCTGCTGA